TCATATATCTCTATACCTATCTATGTCTATATCTTAGATTGTGCATGCGTAGACAACTTTCTGCCCTGTTAATGCTCAGCTCCCAGCTCAGATAAGTTATTTTCTATCACGATCAGCACGTACTTAAAGAATATTTTCTTAACAAACTTCCAACTGGGGAATAGCATAAAATAGTCTCCTGCAACCTTTTATTTCAAAGTTGTATTTTTGTAAATCTCTATCTGTATATCGCCTTTCATAAACGTCTAATTGCTGCCACTTTCTTTATTTTACTATACAGTACAGGAAGGAACAGAGCACATAAAAGGCTCCATCAATGCACGATTTACACGTGATACAAGAAACAACAATGACGTAACTATGTTTTTAAACTGGATCAATGTTACTTGGAAAAATGAGGAGAAAATCAAGTATTTTAAAGTTCAGATAAGAAATGGCGGTTCGGTGATCTTAAAAGACTACGTGAGCGCATTCTCCAATGTAAGTGATTGGCCACACACTGCCTTATCGCTGTTAAACGCTGTTCCTTTTCTAATTACACTGACCTGAAAGGTCAAGTGTCTTAAATCCCTAGTTTTCTGTTTTCTTCTGTTTTTTTCGTCGTCGAGAAATCGAGTTTGCGTTCGCGCATCGCAGGCTCAGGGTGCAACGATTAATCCAAAATGCCATCGATTCTTCGACTCCACGATTCATATATAATAGTAAGAAGCTTGTATTTATGTACATAATAGCCGGCTCATGCCATGCTTGTGGTGCATTTTTCGTTTATTAGCCCATATGTAGACTTATATAGACTTATACGCACGCGCACAATTCCGAACTCCAATGGTGACATATTCAGTCCAGTTTCAAAATGGCGCCTTTTGGCTGAGTGATCAGAATATATTTCACACAGTTTCGTTGAATTTTCAAAGAGTTGTGCCGGTTTCCTATGGAATTTACGTTGTGTCGCACTCTGAACTTTCTTGCGTTTTGAATTAATGTGTTTTTCTTCGTGTAACGACTCGAAAACCCAAAAATTTGGACCCAGCGAATTTTACAAAGGACAAGTTAAAGGTTTGACAGTTTGACTTTTTAACTAATAAACAACTGTCTATAAATATACGTTGTAGAGTCATAAACATCCGTGATGTAGTTGTGTTCATTTTTTGTCGCACTCTGGACTTTCGTGCGTGTTGAATTAATGTTTTTCTTCTTGTATTAAACGACTCTAAAATTTGGCTTCCAAAATTTGGCCGACCCGGCGGATTTATACAATCAATATGTTGTATTCAACGACTCGAAAACCCCAAAATTTGGACCCGACGCGAATTTGTTCAATATAGTGGGATGTAAGCTGGGACAAGTTAAAGGTTCGACAGTTTATTTTGATTTATTGTATGGTTCTCATTTGCCTAATACAATAACATTTAGTTCACAATACAATATAAACAAGGGCAAGTTAAAGGTTTGACCATATTAAAATACATGTATTGAAATTCGCGCAATAGCTACTAGAATTCGCGCAAGTAAAGATAAAGCGAGCGATAAAGAACTAAGACATTTATTGTATGGTTCTCATTTGTCTAAAAGAATAACATTTAGTTCACAATATAATATAAACAAAATATAAACAAGGAAAAGTTAAAGGTTTGACAGTTTCACTACACAATGTTGGCAATATACCTTAATACATGTATTAAAATTCGCGCAGTAGCTACTAGTTGGTGCGCCAAACGCTTTGTGGTAGCTATAGTCTACTAAAGACAAAGCGTGCCTTCAAAATACCTACAAGAACTAAGAAATTTATTGTATGGTTCTCATTTGCCTAATACAATAACATTTAGCTCGACGTGAATTTTAACTAGTATCATATTTCATAATATAATGAGCAATGTAAACTAGCCAATTCTTTTCACCTACAAAATGTCGACAATATACCTTAATACATGTAGTAAAATTCGCGCAGTAGCTACTAGAGTTCGGGCAAGTAGTAAAGATAAAGCATGCATTCAAAATACCAAGACATTTATTACATGGTTCTCATTTGCCTAATACAATTACATTTAGTTCACAATATAGTATAAACAAGGAATAGTCGTTCGATTTGGCTATACTGTTTGCTCGTTTTGAATGTATATTGATCGATTTCAATAATCGATTTACATATCAGTCTGCTCGATTCGAGTAAGTGTTGCCCGATTTGTATCATTGGTGATTTGGTGTTCGACTTATAACTATTGGACCTATATTGAATTTTGACAGTAAAAACGCGCCATATATAATACATGTATTAAAATTCGCAGAGTAGCTACTAGCCTACTAGAATTGGCGCAAGTAAAGATAAAGCGTGCGTTCAAAATACCACTGGCAATGAACAAGAACTAAAACATTTGTTACGAAATCTGCTACAAAATGTCGACAATATAGCATACAGTGTTGGATTTTTCTCATGTGTATAATGTAGCATAACACATGTATTAAAATTCATGCAGCAGCTACTAGAATTCGCGCAGCGCTGGGTGCGCAAAATTGCAAAAAGCCGTTTGTGGTAGCTATAGTAAATATAAAATTTATGCTACAAGGATCAAGGTAATAAATGGGAAATGAACTAGCTATTTTAAAACTGTAATGTATGATGATTCTTTTGAGATAACAATGAGAAGATGAAGCGAACGAAGAAGAAAAATTCCAGTCGGCGGCCAAAAAGGCCGTTTGCCGTGAAGTTTAAATTGCCCTGTTAGTACATTTAAAATGCACGTAGTAGCCTATAATATGTGCGTGGAACGCATATTACCTCGCCCTCGACGTTTTACCCTCGCCCTCGACATTTAACCCTCGACACTCGACCAATAGATAAACTCCACACGACATATAGGGACACTCAAGGTTGCACTAATTGCATCGTATAGGGTTGAAAAGTTGCCAATAATAAAGTGGTGATTTCTGCCTTCTGCTTTTTGTTGTCAAATTATTGATTTTCTTTGGATAAATCTACCGTATCTACCACTGAAACTGTTCTATACGAACTCTCTTGCTCCCCATTTCCTTGTCTATTACACCATAGCCAATCTCGTTCCTCGAGCCTGCGATCCTCGGGAAGGAAACGAAGGCTCTGGGATAATCTGTTGCCGAAAGCCAGGAATTCTGGCTAAGATTGAACTGCACATTCCATATCAATGGCCAATCAAATTCCTCCCTGAAACGGATTATCCCAGAGCCTTCGTTTGCTTCCCAAGGACCGCAGGCCCAGGGAACGAGATTGCACCATATCATTTTCAGGTCAGTGTGAACGCCTGAGTAGGCGTCTTGTTAATTAAGGAACAGGTATCAGTATATAGATGAATTATTTATGAGTAGGTGCAATTTGTTGAAAATTACAATGTTAAATTACTTTTCTCATCGCTCTTCAGTTTTCGCTAATTTTTATCCCCGAGCCAACTGCGCGGAGCGCCGTTCCTGGCGAAAGCCCGGGCCGAGGGTACTAATTCCGACCGGCTATTTACACACGGGGAAAGGAACGCACCAACGAAGTCTAAAGTTCGTAAAATATCGCAGGCGCATGGCTCACCGTTCATGTAGCTGACTAGCTGTCGTGAATAGTGAACACCGATTGGTCAAATTTGAAATTTGCATTATGACGACAGCGAAATAACAAACATTTCTTGCAAGTTGTATTTTTGCAAGATTTTGCAAATTTCAAAACCTTTCTGAGGGCAAAACAACGTGTACAAGAATGGAGCCAAGTCGCCGACGTTAATGAACGTAAGTTTGTTTTAAATATTGATTATTGTTTCTTTTATTATTGATATATTTATAACTGATACGATCGTTGCGTATATATGTGAACAAAGACAGCATATAATTTGTGTGTAGTGTTATTAATTACCCGCTTCCTTTTGTATATTAAAATATTAAAATAAAGAGGAAAGAAAAGTTATTTCATGCGAGAATTTGAAATCAGTTTATTTCAAGCTCAAAGCTCAATGTTTACCGATAATCGATAACAGGCCGTTAAGTTTTGAGAACATTTTCAAACGTATTACGATGCCTTTGTGGTTGAATTTTACATTATATTGAAGCTTATGTTACGTATAATAACATACCCAGCATATATGTTTGGGAAATTGATAATTTTGTTTTAAAAGTGATATTATGGCCTTTGTGGGGGATTTTTCAATTTTAAAACTATTCTTAAAATTATCGTGTTATCATGACAACTACTTTCAATTCTTCATACCGTAAACCTCCGACTATAAGTCCTGGGATTATATACTTTCTTCAAAAACTCATTAATAAATCAGGAGGAAAACACAAAGAAAAATCATAAGCGTGCCGTGGTTTTATATGTGATAAAAAATCATGTTCATTTACATAAACTTTAGCTTTGATTTTCTTCGTTTATAGACAAAGTTTATTTTAAAAATTACTTCGTCAATGAACTCGTATTAGTTAACGTCCACCGAAGCGCGAGAACGAACGAATAGCCTCATTAACTGAACGACTGTACCGTCCACATTCGTTCAACTCAACGGTTTCTATTGGCTGAGACAAATTTAATTAGGATATTCGTTTCCTTAGTTGAGCTATCGTTGCGTTAAAATTCTTTGTGATTAGCTGTGTAAATATTTCTATTCGTATGAAGCAATTTGCTGCATGAGTACGTACAGATTGTATAGAAAAAAGTCCACCTTTTCAGATTCAAATTTTGAAAGAGTGCACTGTTGTTAAACTAAATGCAATTTTGTATGCGCATGCATGTGTGATTAATTAAAGTGATTTGAGCTTCTGTTTGTTGAGGAGGTAAAACGAAATATGGCAGACGACGTTGAGGTCATAAATAAGTACTCGTAAATCTTCAGAATGCTGTTCACGCATTCAGTCAATTTATATACCTGTAATCCATGCGGCTAGAGAAATAATTGACGAAGATGAATTGAATGCTTTATTTGCCTGTACGAGGCAGCTCTATGCATGCGCGCTGCTCAGTTTAATAGCAACGTGCGCTCAGTCCATTTTACCAAGAGCTCGGACTGAACAAATTCTAAACCTCGACTTCGCTGGTTCACATTTCCCGGGAAGAGATTTCTGCAGCGAATTAGAAAGTTGTGAGCATTTGTTTTGGTCGATGACAGGCGAGAGCGTGGAATCGTTTCGTCAACTGGTGCACGACATGCTGCCGTATTTACTCTCTTTGTTTTCTTTGTTTGATTTCCAACATTAGCATAGAGCTCCTGCACATTGGCAGGAATCTCACGAAATCTCTCATGCCTCACGATATCGTTCGCAATCATGTCCCAGATCGGACCGATCTCCATATACCGCTCATGAATCACGGCTCCTAGCCTATACGTCTTACTTGTCTTGGAAGCATTATTGAAACTATGGACTATGGTTTACGCGTACGTTATAACGCTAAGTTTGAAAGGCATGCATAATATGCACAGACAACGAATTCTATACTCAGTGCTATACAGTCAAGACAGCCCACATTGTGTGTTTTGTTTCAGCCAGGTTATGTTGTGTGTTCTCTATCCTCCAGGTTGTTTCAAACAATCAAAGCGCTGGCGTAAACAACATTTTACTTTAAGATATGTTCACTAGTTGTTTAGCACATTGACATGAATATTTGTATGTACGAGTGTTTGGCACGCACATAGGAATCATTTGCATTCATTCGAATGGGAAACATTGTTAAGAATGTTTAATTCGTAGCAATTCGTAGCTGTTTATGTATGATCATCGTCATAGACAACCAACGACGATTAATAATGATGATATGCAGTACAAGGAATGTCATAGAGTTAACCTATAAACGGTGACAGAAAAACTGGCAAGAAATTTGAGTTTGAACTTGACAAAGTGTACCAGGTGAGGACATGTCCGTTTTGTAGTAAGTAGGTCGTAACGAATGGGTTGTAACGTATCTCCCATAGTTACTAACTCGTCATTCGTTCACTCGTTCGTTCACTTTGGTCTATTCGTACATGTTTTAATATGCAAACCAATCAGCTTTCGCGATTTCAATGAGACAATTTACATTCTTGCATATTCGTTCGTTCTCGTGCTTCGGTGGACGTTAACTATTAGATGAGTCGTTTTTGAAGCCATTGAAAGCACTTGTAGTAGTGTTTTATCACATATAAAACACTCCGCTACGCGTCGTGTTTTATCCCCGAGCCGGCGGCGCGAAGCGCCGTGCGAGGGTACTAATCCCCCCCAGCTAATTTACACCCGGGGAAACGAAAGCATTAGCGAAGTCTAAAGTTCATCAATGAGCGCGGGCGTCGGTCACCAACGATGGGTGGTCATCCTCACTGATCTCAAAAATATGGCGGACTGTTATGAATAACGGACACTGATTGGTCCAATTTAAAGTTTGCATTATAACGGCTGCATGACGACAGCGAAATAGCAAACATTTCTTGATTTGATGAGTTGATGATTGATAAATTTCTTGCAAATATTCTTCATGTTTGCTGGTATTTCTGCAAGATTTTGTAAATTTCAAGAAAGAAAGGGCGAAAGAATCAGCTAATAGAAGGGAGCCGACGTTAACGAAGGCAAGTTTGTTTTAAATATTGGTTTTATAATGGCTCTAAAACCTGACGGCCTTTGCGTATATGAAACAACTAAACAAGACGGCATATAATTTCAGTGTATCTTTAATATTGATTCCCTTTTTTATTATATTGAATTTTTTAAATAAAAAATAAAGCAAAGTTATTTGCAAGCGAGAATTTGAAATCATTTTATTGCAAACTCAAAGTTTATCGATAAAGCCATTTAATAGTTAAAGGTAGTTTAGTTTTATAAAGAACACTTTAAAACGTTTTGTAAATTGTTTGTGGTTGAATTTTACCTTAAATTGAAGCTTGTATTACGTATAATTACATACCTAACATAAATATGTTGGGAAATTGATAATTTTGTAATTAAAAGTGATATTTTTAGGCGATTTTCATTTGTAAGAATATTCTTAAAAAAATATCGTGTTACCATGACAACTACTTTAGATACTTCATGTTCGGAAAATACAACGGATTTGTCAGCAAGGCGAGGGTTTCTGCATGCATGTATTTTCTAGTATGTGATAAAACACTCCTACGCGTGCTTTAAATAGAACGTAAGCGATTTTTCATGAGCTTATACATGGGCGATTTTTTGTGTTAATAATAAACAAGTCAGACATAAACAAGTCAGTCATAAACAGGAAAATAAACATGTATTAATAACGCACTTTGATTCACATTGTCGGCTATAAAGACAATGACAATGTTTTTAAATATCGTTCCCTGCTTTATTAAAAGAAAATGTCTATGTTGAATAACCAAGTGGGCTACTGAGCTTGTATTCGGGGACTTATATTTGGGGGGCTTATATTCGGGTGGGCTTATATTCGGGTGGGCTTATATTCGGGTGGGCTTATATTCGGGTGGGCTTATATTCGGGTGGGCTTATATTCGGGTGGGCTTATATTTGGAATGAGGTGAGCGCGTATATGGCATGGTGGGCTTATATTCCGTGAGGGGGCTTATATTCGGGGCGGGGTCTTATAGTCGGAGGTTTACGGTATTCATAAGACATAATGGTTTTGTCAGTAAGGCGAAGGTTCTGCATGCATGTATTTTCTACTATGTATAGGTTATTTTGAGGCAACGAGGGCATATGTGATTTATTCACCGAGGCGCGCAGCGCCGACGTGAATAAACACATATCCCCGAGGTGCCTCAAAATAACGTACTTATTTTTCACACTGCGAGGTCGCGTTAATGAGTCAGAAAAGAAATAATTCTCAATGCCATATTGCTTTTGCGATGTTGTTTTTTCTCATTTTTTGAGCTGCAAAGACATTGCAGGTGAATATTAGAGGGGATTATTAATTGCAGGTGAATATTAGAGGGGATTATTAAACGGAAATTGATTAGAGGAGAATATTGAATATATTCCCCGACAAGAACAAAGGAAACCGAGCAGGGTGAAAAATAAGCTTATATAATTGTGTCGGATTTGCATGCATGATTATCATGCGTGCACATACACAATAGATGTAATGTTATCTGAAAAACAAAAACAATGGAAATTCATTTCGTATCTCTATACGTATATGAGGATAACTCACTATAACTAAGAAAAGTTTTAAATGCAACACGGTGGGGGACATATATTCCGCGAAATATCATATGGTTAACATGTTTAAATGGCATGCTTACCTATGTAAGTCATTGGGGAGATGCTGTTAGAATGCGTGTTGTGCCAAGCTAGTTGTGGATCGTCCAATACACGCCCTTGGAAAAGATTCATCCGAAACGCAAAGGCAATTAAAGGCATAAACACACACACACTCACATACATAGTTTGTACGAACTAGGGTAATTGCTTATTTTCGAGAACACAGCTCCGCTTTGAAGTAAGTTTTTTTGCGAAATCCATTTTGACATTTAGAAATATTGACGGATTTATAAATCGTCGTTATGCTCTCCCTTTCGATTGATCTACATTAAGATCACTTTGATTTATAGGTAAAAAACACAAGCCAAGGAAGGGGAATAATGTCAGATTATTTAATGTCAAACGAACACTTTGTACATCGATGCATGGAAGTTCGAATCTTAGGCTATATAGTGTTACTGACGACGTTATCATTCACATTTTAATGTATAAGTGGAATTTATTTTTCTTTCCCAGCAATGCATCAATCAAATGCCAGGATTTTTTTATGTATATTTAGTGTATATACGGTTCCGAATGGTGTCAGCATAAAATTTGGATTTGGTTTTACGCGTATAAGCAATAGCTATAAATCATATGTTTTTTTTAATTAGTTTACCTAATTATACTTCATAGATTTTTACGTGCATGCTTCGCATCTGTCACTGTAATGACTGGAGACGCCTTCATGGCTAACCTCGCCTCTCCACATTCTCTTTAGCTGCGGTTCATTCTGAAGAACTGTACAACGAGTTCAGGTTATAGACGTACGCCAGCCTAGACCTAGGCCTTTACTCGGCTAGCCTGCTCACAAACGTTGTAGTTCATACGCCAAGCGACGAAATACTACCGTCTGCTTACCCGAGCGCCAAACTGAATTCCGCTACGTCGACCAATCAGAATTTACCTTTTACATTCTGGAAAGTGACGTCGGTTGCTTTAGAAGTGGAATAAATATAGATATATGTTTTGAAAACAGATCGTTGTTTAGGTGATCAGATTTGGATATTAAAGATGTTCGGCTATATTTAAAACGCGGACAGGATTGGTATATTTATACTGTATGAATCTTAGCCAGACAGCATGCATCAAATGCCGAATGTATTTCGCTGAAATTTTAACGGTTTATCTTTATAAGACAACAGAACTCGGAAGACAGAATTTTTTTATTTTTTTTTAAACTTCGAAACGTTTATACTCTAACTTGGCTATACTTTTTTACATGACAATGACAGCTTAATCTTTTGGAAGTTTTCGTCGAAGTCATGGCATATAGGAAGTATCAAGAGCAACATTTGGACATATCCTGATATACTCGTGTTTCCCGATTGAACTACTGCATTGCTTTAGCACTTTATATACACCGATTGTTTGCTGAACATGCGAGAAGATGATCACAATATTATTCTACGCAAACATCGTGAAGTTCAACTCTATAGTTTCCAAAATATATCCACGCAAGTAAACAAATTTCAAGTTTCAACCCAAACAATATATTCCAATGCATGTACAAGGGCTTTCCCCTGTAGCTAATCTCTCAATAAGGCGGCTTCCAATTGAGCACTGCCAGATGATTGGCTCCTAAAACAAAGGGAATTGAACATGCAGCTCGGGTAAGCAGATGGTAGTATTTCGTCGCTTGGCGTAAGAACTACAACGTCTGTGAGCAGGCTATTACTCGGCTGGCTTTGGCAGGTATCTTTGGCAGGTTTGGTCAATTTCCGGCTAGCATTTGGAAATTATCGCAATGGTCATTTGCCTCGTATAAAATGCCTAGTAGATTTCACAAGTTCTCAAATTAGCCCCATAACTTTGTGATCCGAAATTGATCAGAAACCAACAACTAAAGCAATTTACACTGTCCAGTAGTTATTACATTAACTATAAAACATTTTATGACTAAACTAACCTATTATTAGTTTATAAATGTCGCGTTAAATTGTATTAAACATCTTTATTAAAACCTTTAAAGTTCCAACAACTTTGTACATGCACTGATTTATACTCGAAATAATTCTTTTATTCGCAAGACAATCCACTCTTTTGCTTTGAATAACTATATTTGCGAATCGGGAATGAGGATTTTGAAATTATTGTTCAACTATTA